TTGACTGATTTGTTCTTCTTGCAGTCCAAGGGACTCTCAAGAGTCTTCTCCAGCACCATAGTTCAAAAGAATCTATTCTTCGGCGCTCGGCCTTCCTTATAGTCCAACTCTCGCAGCCATACATGACTACTGGGAATACCATTGCTTTGACCATGCGGATTTTTGTTGGCAGGGTGATGTCTCTACTTTTTATCATGCTGTTTAGGTTCGCCATCGCTTTCCTCCCAAGGAGCAGGCGTCTTTTAATTTCATGGCTGCAGTCACAGTCTGCGGTGATCTGGGATCCCAGGAACGTGAAGTCTGTCACTACTTCCACAGCTTCCCCTTCTATTTGCCAAGGAGTGATGGGACCGGATGCCATTATCTTAGTTTTTTTGATGTTGAGCTTCAAGCCCACTTTTGCGCTCTCCTCTTTTACCCTGAGCAAGAGGCTCTTAAGGTCCTCTTTACTTTCTGCCATTAGAGTGGTATCGTCTGCATATCTGAGGTTGTTGATCTTTTCCCCAGCAATCTCAATTCTGGCTTGTGATTCATCCAGGCCAGCATTTTGCATGATGTACTCTGCATATATATTAAATAAGCAAGGCGACAATATACATCCTTGTCGTACTCCTTTTCCTATGCTGAACCAATCAGTTGTTCCATATCCGGTTCTAACTGTCGCTTCTTGGCCCTTATACAGGTTTCTCAAGAGACATGTGAGGTGGTCTGGTACTCCCATTATTCCAGGTTAATTTGCAATAACCTTTCCTACCTCCCTTCCATGATGTACTTGCAGTTACAAACTGAATTTATTTGAAGAAGTGTGCCTGCACATGAAAGCTTATCTCCAGAATAAAACTTTGTTGGTCTTAAAGGTGCCACTGGACTCAAACTTTGTTCTGAATTTAAACAAGAGATTTGTGGTCCCTTAAAGAGTAGCAGTTTTGTAATCTAACATAAGATTTCTTGGACTAGACCACACTTAGAATCATAGAATGTTAGAGGGACACATGACGTGGATCCTCAAACACATGGCGTGGATCCAGGGCTATTTTGGGGCAGGAACGCACAGGAACGGAGTTCCGGCTGGCTTCAGAGTTGGCCACGCCCACTACAGCCAAAACCTCTGCATGCGTGGCTACGGAGGGAAGGCCTGGAGAGCGACTCCCCCAGGCAACTCCAAGGCGGGTGGGCCGGGGGGGGGCCCTGGAAGGATCGGGGAGGCGTTTAAATGCCTCCCTGTGCGTTCCCCAGCCTGTCCAAGGGCTGGCTTGCCTGGGCTCTCCACAGCTGTGGGGCGCCCAGGTAAGCCAAGGGAAGGCAGTTTAAACTGCCTTCCCTTCCCTCCGGGGGCCAGCTTGCCCAGGCTCCCCGCAGCCGCGCGGTGCCCAGGCAAGCCAAGGGAAGGCATGGGGTGTGGCCTATTAGGCTAATGAGCTGGCTGTCAGGGTGTGGCCTAATATGCTAATGAGTTTCTGCTGTTGCATGTGGCCTATTATGCTAATAAGTTCCTGCTGGGCTTTTTCTACAAAAAAAGCCCCGCGTGGATGCCCTGTTGGAGCACACACTTCACAATCACACATAGATTTGAAGAAAACAAAAGAACTTTTGCTATCTAGACTACTTGTACTTAGAATCAAAGGCCATACATGCTATTCACAGTTATATCACCAGCTGGCCAGGCCCACAGACAAGGTGAACCGAGAGTGCTGCACCAGTTTGCACTGGAAAAGCTAGTGCTGCAATTGCAAATGAAACTGGAATGCAGCAGTTTAGCAATGGGGATGTATGGCAAAATGAGAACTGGAGTCAGATGTCTGGTCATGTAAAAAACCTCAGTCCGTATCTTTCATATTGAGTTTAAAGTTGAGCAATTTGGTAGTTTATTTCCATTGCTTTGTATGGGAAACACATTTTTAGATGTAACTTTCCCCCTCCATTCAACTGGGATGAAATTCTCAGTGCTGGTACTTTTCTTCCAGCCTGTGCACCTGTGGGGTTATTTAAAAGCACAGGGGGAATCACTTTTTAAAATGCTCCACAGCTAAGTTTGGCTCTGAGCACTGCAATGGGGGAGGAGGGGCTTCAGGCTTCCCCCCCCCTGCCATTTTTGCCAGGAGAAATGGTCAAGGATCCTCTTTGCCCCTTCCTCTGGCTCCACATGCCCTGGGATGCCATTCTGGCACGTGGAAAGGCGTGCCATGGGGAAGAAGATTGCCTGGTCTTGGTGTGTGATGGGCTCTTGCAGCATTTTAAAATGGTCAGATCCTTCTCTAAAATGGCGTCAGCAGTCGTGGGTCAGACCTGTGGCCACCCTTAAATCTAGTTTGGGTCTCAAACATCCAGGAATGTATTATTAATCCAGAACAGGGGATAGATATGGATTATTACTTCAGAACTGTTACACGAGATATAAAAACTGTGTAATGCTGTGCAATCATGCCAGGATTTATCTGTAGACCATGTGTATTTCTATCCCTGACTGGTGGGTGCCAATTCTTCCCGAATTGTTTATCCAGATCAACGCAATGGGAATTAGGGTTCCCAGGTCCCCCTTGTCCACCAGCAGGTGATCGGGGGGGATCGGGTTGCCACATCCAGGTTGGGAAAGTCCCGGATATTTGGGGATGGACCCTGGAGAGGAAAGGGAACTCAGTGAGGTCACAATACCATAGATGCCACCAGCCCTGTAGCCAGGGGTAGTTTCATAGAAAAAAAGCTAGGGGAACTCATTAGCATAACTCATTAGCATATACCACACCCCCTGACATCAGGGGCCCGGCGGTGGACCTGCAAGGCCGGCGGGAGTGCGAGGAAGCCCCGCCAAGGCCCTCCCTGGCCCCAGGAAGGCAGGGGTGGGGAGAGGTGGGGAGGAAGCAACTTACCCTCCCTCTTCTCCTGCCTCCTCCTGGCTGAATGAGGGCCGGAAGCGGGGTGGCCGGAAGCAAGGGGCGGGGCTTCATCGTGTGCCCCACCCCCTTACACCTCACCCGGGGGAACTGCGATCCCCCGCGATCCCCCCCGAAATGACCTCTGCCTGTAGCCATAAATTTTGGGTTGGTGGGGCATGGGGAAATTTTGTGGGGCAGCAGGGGGGGGGGGATCCCTCTAAGCTGTGGAGTCTTGTGAGCAAAAATTCTACTTTGTGAGCTACTGGCATTAATGTTGTGAGTGAGTGATTTGGCTACTGCATAAATTAGTTTGCTTTGGAGTCCTCCTTCCTGAGCTAAGAGAACAATCTGTGAGCCGGTGGCTAAAAAAGTGTGAGCTAGCTCACATTAACTCAGCTTAGAGGTAACAGTGCTGGAGGGCCCTTTTAATGTCACAGGGGGGAGGGAGGGGGAGGGAGGGGAGAGGGGCAGCAGCTGTTATGGGGCGTGCATCACATTTGAGGGGGCGGGGCCCTGAAATGCCCCACTGTAGCTACGAGCCTGCATGTGTTGTCTAGGGTTGCCAGCTCTGGGTTAGGAAGTACCTGGAGAATTTGGGGGTGGGACCTAGGGAGGGGAGGGACCTCAGCAGGTTACAATTCCATAGAGCCGACCATCCAAAGCAGCCATTTTCTCCAGGGGAACTGAGCTTGGTCACCCGGAGATCAATTGTGACAGCAGGATATCTCCAGGTGCTACCTGGAAGTTAGCAGTCCTATGTTTGTCTTGTGTTCTATACAGAGACCAGCAGCCATACACACTAGCTGCCAATCCCCACAGAGGAACTCCCTCTGAAATTGTGACAGAGCCCCAGTTCTGGTCAGGACTGTGGCATGGAGGAGGAGGGACTCGTGCCTCCCCTGTGCCGTTTTTCCTACCCAAAATGGCACCAAAGGGCATTATTTGCCCCTCTGGATGGTGGTGCATGCAAGCAGCAGGGTATGTGCACACGTGCCCTGATGGTGTTTTGGGTTGGTAAACAGGCACTGGAGGAGTCAGGAGCCCCTCCTCCCCCTATGCCAAAATCCTAACTGGAATTGGGGCCCAGTGGCACTTTTAGAAGGGATTGCTCTACGGGAAGCAGCTGCTGGTATATGGCTGTCAATCTCCATGGAGAACATGAGACTAACATCATGTTTCGTTCAGGCCTTAGAGTGCTGTCAAAGACAGAATTACACCCTTCTAAAACCTGCGGTGGCTCAAGTGGTTAAGACGCTGAACTGCAGGCTGTGGAAGGTCAGTAGTTCGAGACCCGAGTTGCTGCATGATGGAGTGAGCTCCCATCTCTAGTTCCAGCTCCTGCCAACCTAGCAGTTCGAAAGCAAGAAATTGCAAGTAGATAAATAGGTACCGCTTTGGTGGGAAGGTAACAGCGTTCCGTGCGCCTTGGTGTTTAGTCATGACCACATGACCACGGAAACGTCTTCAGACAGCGCTGGCTCTTCGGCTTTGTAAAGGAGATGAGCACCGCAACCTTAGAATCTATTTGACTAGCTTTCCAGAAAGGGAAACCTTTACCTTTATCTTTAAACCCTTTGAATTCAGTAGACTTTGAAGGATGTCTTTATAGGATTGCACTGTTTATCTCTTCTTTGCCTGGCAATTCGCCCTTGAAAGGGACTCCTGCAGTTATTTAGCCTCACACATGTTGGCTTGTTCTAGTTTCAGCACTTGGATTTGGAAGAAAATAACTTAAAACGGCAGGAGAGTTATCTTCAAGGGAAAAATCAAGGCAGCAAATCTACTTTTCATTTACCCTGCTGTGCACGTGCGAAAATAAAAGAAGCTTTTCAAAAGCAGGATCTGTCTTGGAGCACTGTATCGTACGGCCTTTCCCTCATCACCATTTTTGGAAGCAAAGGCCAGTGTCAGCCTTCAGGAGGCCGGAGCATGTCAGAGGTGGCGAGAGGAGGTCAAGTGTTCAGAGGCCCAGCTATTTCCTGTGTGATCTGCTTCCTTTCCTCCGAGAAGAGGTCAGTGTCGCTTCTCTGGTAGAGCTGAGTTTGGCACTCAGAGAGGCACTCTCTCTTTCTCAGTCCCTCCCACTGCCACTGAAGAGACCCTGGAGTCGATCTTTCCAAATGGAAGATGAGGAAAGCGGCATGGCTCTTAACTTCCAGTCAGAAGCAAGAGGGCAAAATAGAAACAACTCCAAGCTGCCAGTGGAAGGTAAGTCAGGCTTCTTTATGTGGTGTGGAAGTTTCTAGGTTGTAAGCATTTGTAAGCATGATGATGTATCTCCATGCCATAAAAAAGCTTCAGGGGCCCATTTTCATGCAGTAATTTTCTACTGAAGCACCAGGACATTTCCACCTGGGCCAGCCAGTGGCAACACTGCAAAGGCCCTGGTCACATGGGCCAGATATTGCGGGGGGGGAGGTGTGGCTAATAGCCCCAGCGCAGTTTGATCCACAATTACGTGATCAGACGCGCCGGCGGCACACCACTGGTCCTTCCCTTGGCGCCGGTGGGTAAACGAGGGACCAGAGGGGAATGCCGCATGCCGGCGCGATCACACCATGGGCGTCTGGAGGCAGCCCGTGGCAAACGTTTACTAGTACCTTGGAGGTACTAGTTTTTTAACTCGCATTGTCAGCGGTAAGCCACAGGTGCACTCCACTTCCCAGATGTTGGGGTGTGATCGCGCCTGGATAACCCGCCCACCATCCGTGCCTCTCCCGCGGCAACTTTGCCATGTGACCAAACTAGATTTGCCAACCTCCAGGTGGTAGGTGGAGATCTCCTGGGATGACAACTGATTTCCAAGCAACAGAGATCAGTTCCCCTGGAGAAAATGGCTGCTTTGGAAGGTGGACTCAGTGGCATTAAACCCCACTGAAGTCCCCACCCTCCACGAGTCCCACCCTCCCCAGACTCCACCCCCAACATCTCCAGGAATTTCCCAATCCAGATCTGGCAACCCTACTGCAAACAGGCCATGGTGGCACTATTCTTCTTCTGTTGTTGACTGCTATTATCTGGTACAAGCCAAGGGAAAATTGCCTCAGAAAATAAAGATTTGCTTCTGACTATTGTAGCTGCCTCCTGCCAACCTAGCAGTTTGAAAGCAAGAAATTGCAAGTAGATAAATAGGTACCACTTTGGTGGGAAGGTAACAGTGTTCCGTGCGCCTTGGCATCTAGTCATGCCGGCCACATGATCACGGAAACATCTTCGGACAGCGTTGGCTCTTCAGCTTGGAAACGGAGATAAGCCCCGCATCCCTAGAGTCGGATTTGACTGGCTTTCAAGCAAGGGAAACCTTTACCTTTCCTATTGTAGCTGCTGACCACAGATCATTCCGTAATCCAGAAGTGACTCTGTAGGGGTTGAAATCCAACTCATGCTATGCTGGCAGCCTAATTACCACTGACAGAAAAACCAGGATGCCGGAGTAACTCTCCTTGATTTGTCTGGGCCTCATGGGCCTGGCTAGGTTTATCCTTGTTCACATGGCTGGATTGGGAGCTAGATTCATGCAGGAACTAATCCACAGGAGAAGCTATATATGCACCTAAGAGCCTTTGTCTTCTGAGTGGCAGATATGGCACCAAAGTAACTCATGAATCATGCTTAGGATAATATGAATTAGGAATCCCCAGTTTTAACTCCAACTCAGGTATGCGGTAGCAACAACAACAACAAATGATCTCTCAGGGTGCATTTTCTGCCGTGAAAATCTTTCTCTGAATACGTATCCTTGCAGACACTCTGGTGAAACAACCCAGCAGGCATCAGATCACTGCAAGAATCGGATGCGTTGTGATGTTCCTTTTAATTGGAGCTCTGATAGCACACCGGATTTGGGGTAAGTGTGGTGGTGGGTGGTGGATTTGGGGTAAGTGTGGTGGTGGTGGAGGTGGTTAGAGTCTTGTGCTAAGTCCAGGGAGACCTGGCTTCAAATCCCTGCTTGCGTTGAAGCTCACTGGGTGACCTGGCACTAGTCACTGTCTCTGAGCCTAACCCACTTCACAGGGTTGTTGTGAGGATAAAATGGAAAGCGGGGGGGGGACGACAAGATCCTTGGTCAGCTCATAAAATCCTCACAGAGAAGGAACTCCTGTCCCTTTCCCCTTTCTACAGTCTAGTTTTCTAGTTCCCGGTCATCCTTTATCCCACTTGACTATGAAGCGTCTCGACTGTGGAGGAGTAGGGTTGGCAGCCATCCAGTGGAGATCTCTGGTAATTACAACTGATCTCTATACTACACAGATCAGTTCCCCTGGAGAAAACGGCTGCTTTGGAGGGTGGACTTTATGGCATTATATCCCTCTGAGGTCCCTCCCTCCCCAAATCCTGCTCTTTCCAGGGTGCACCTGTTATGTCTCGACATGTGCAGCCTTCCACTCAGGCTTAACTGCTGCTGGTGCAGTAGCCAGCATAAGGAGGCATGTCTGGACTTGTCTGGCAGGCCACCTAGATGGAATTTGAAGCCCAGAACAAAGGCAAGCAGGATCCTGAAGCCTGCCTGTGGATTGGCCCCTGGGGACAGCCAGCCAATCTGGACCCTGGAGGCCATTTGAACTCACCAATCGCATGGGGGCGGGGAGTGGCTTAGGCAGGGCTCTTTTTGTAGAAAAAGCCCAGCAGGAACTCATTAGCATAATAGGCCACACCCAACAGCAGGAACTCATTAGTATATTGGGCCACACCCCTGACAGCACAGCTCATTAGTACATTAGCCCCCATGTTACCAGAAGTGTAGTTATCCAGCCACACCCACCTTTTGCTTGTTATTCTGTTTACCTTGTTTGTTGTCAAAACCCAGGGCTTTTTTTGTGGCAGGAACTTCTTTGCATGTTAGGCCACACACCCCTAACGTAGCCAATCCTAATGAGTTCCTGCTGTTGGGTGTGGCCTATTATGCTAATGAGTTTCTACTGGGCGTGGCCAACTTGGGAGCCAGCCGGAACTCCGTTCCTGTGTGTTCCTGCCCATAAATAGCCCTGGACTTAGGTGTATATATTTAGAGGAAGAGGAAAAAGAAAAAGAAGAAATTGGATTTATACCCCAACCTTCACTACCCAAAGGTGTCTCAGAGCGGCTTATAAACTCCTTTCCCTTCCCCTCCCCACAACAGACACCCTGTGAGGTCAGTGGGGCTGAGAGAGCTCTGATAGAAACTGTTCTTTTTCAAGAACAGCTCTTATCAGAACTACCAAAAACAACAAAACTGGGGCCAAAATCAGTCCAATAATACAGTCTTAAACATTAAATATGTATGTTAATACAATCACTTTTATACTTGATAATAATATCTAAGTATACAAATTATTAACAAGGTATACAACCTAACCATACAATATCCTAATGTTATACACTACTAATATACTAACATACAGTAATATTACAGAATACCAATTATTGCTAACAGACTTTCAACATGTGCTGTTATCAGGCAAGGAATGTAAAGCCTGGCAAGGAATGTAAAGCTTGACAAAGCAGCCGGCTTGTGCTTGGTTTTGTCTCTTAACTTCCTCAGAAGCAAGTTAGCTTATATTGTATAGGAGTTTTCCTTCTGGTGTAATGTTACTTCCTAGTTCCTAAAGACTTTTCTTCTCAAGAGTTGCTACAATTAATATAGGGACTAGCCCTTATTTCCTTAAAAGATTTCTCATATGGGACCTGTCTTTGACAGACTAAGCTTCGAAGCTGATAAGGTCTCCATAAGCTAACTTGCTTCTGTAATATTACTGTATGTTAGTATATTAGTATTGTATAACATTAGGATATTGTATGGTTAGGTTGTATACCTTGTTAATAATTTGTATACTTAGGTATTATTATCAAGTATAAAAGTGATTGTATTAGCATACATATTTAATGTTTAAGACTGTATTATTGTACTGATTTTGGCCCCAGTTTTGTTGTTTTTGGTATCTTGATACTGGGAAGATTGTATTTGGGTTTGGCTACTTATCAGAACTACGGCTTGCCCAAGGTCATCCAGCCAGATGCAAGTGGAGGAGTGGGGAATCAAACCCAGTTCTCTCAGATTAGAGTCCGCGCACTTAACCACTACACCAAACTGTATTTAGGGCAGTTGCTCCATGTAAAGCATTCCTGTTGAGATGCAATAAACTGCTGCTTGTCGAAATCACTCTGCCTTCGCCTCTGCCGTGTTCAACCCACTATTGAACAGCACCCACGAAATCTCCAGGAATTTTCTCAGAGTTGGCAACCGTCTAGATCGGTTGGATCTTGGGAACCTACCTTGTATCAGATATAACACAGGGCCAAACTAGACATTATGGTGTCCATTGGTTGGACCCATGGGCGCCATCACCCTTTTAGAGGTGACTTTGGGCCATTTAAAAAAAACATGAGGATGCAGTCCTGATTGGGCCCATAGCATGGCAGAGCCAGAAAATGTGGTCAGTTTGGTGTAGTGGTTAAATGTCGGGACTCTAATTTGGGAGAACCGGGTTTGATTTTCCACTCCTCCACTTGCACCATGGGCAAGCCGTAGTTCTGATAAGAGCTGTCCTTGAAAAACAGCAGTTTCTGTCAGAGCTCTCTCAGCCCCACCTACCTCACAGGGTGTCTGTTGTGGAGAGGGGAAGGGAAAGGAGTTTGTAGGCTGCTCTGAGACACCTTTGGGTAGTGAAGGGCGGGGTATAAATCCAACCTTCTCCTCCTCCTTCTTCTCTTCTTCTTCTTCTTCTTGTCCCACCCTTGTGCCTTTTCAGATGTTGAAACAGTCCCCTGCGAGCTGTTTTGGCACTTGAAAAGGTGCAGGGGAGTGGGGAACAAGATTGCTTGGTTCTGCCTTGCTGTCAGTCTGTTTCTGAGTTCAATTCAAGGTGCTGATTGTGATCTTTAAAGCTCTTCAAGACCTGGGGCCCACATATTTGAAGAACCACCTCCTTCCATATGTCCCTGTGCATCTTCAGTCAGCTGTTTTTTTGGCTATCCCACCACCACTTAGGGTGGCTTGTCTGACACTGACCAGATCCCCGGGGCCTTTTCTATCATGGCTCTGTCTCTGTGGAGAGGAATTCCTGAAGAACTGAGGTGGGCCTCTCCTTGGAGATCTGCAGGGGGCGCCAAAGTTCGGCCTGTTTGCCAGGGCTTTTGAGGGAGTTTAAACAGCAGGCATCTTTAAGGGGGTGGGAGGAGGAGAGATTCGGGGCTTGTTATTTTATCTTTGCTTTTAACTGAAAATGTTGTTAACTACTGTTGTAAGCTTCCTTGAACCACCAGGAAAAGCACAATGTAAACATTTTAGTAAAAATATATATAAAAATGTGGAGTCCATGATTTAGATGCCAACACATGTGGAGAAAGGGCTTCAGTCTCCCCCCGCCCCAGACTCTGCACCATTTTTCCAACCTGGAATAGTACGAGGGAGTGCTATTTGTCCTGCTTGGGGATATCTTTGTGTTATCCCAGGAACCACCCTAAAAGCCCTATGGCTGGTCTCCTTTCAACTCATCCCTGCAAGTGGTGGCAAAGGGGCAGCCACTGGGAAGATGATCGAAGCTGTCAGAGATGCTTCCTCAGATTCCAGTCATGGATTTCTCGGTGTCTCATCTACTTTTTGTTTTTTACTGGTATTCTGTTTGGATTCGAGGTATTCTGAATAATTTGGTGTCATACACATGATTACTTGCCGGTACTCATTTCTAGGTAAAGGTAAAGGTTTCCCTTGCTCGAAAGCCAGTCAAATCCGACTGTAGGGATGCGGTGCTCATCTCTGTTTCCAAGTCGAAGAGCCAGCACTGTCCAAAGACATTTTCCATGGTCATGTGGCCGGCGTGACTAAACACCGAGGTGCACGGAACGCTGTTATCATCCCACCGAAGTGGTACCTATTTATCTACCTTGCAATTTCTTGCTTTCGAGCTGCTAGGTTGGCAGGAGCTGGGACCAGAGATGGGAGCTCACTCCGTCATGCGGCAACCGGGTCTCGAACGGCTGAACTACCGATCTTCTGGTCTGCAGTTCAGCGTCTTAACCACTTGAGCCACTGCAGCCCCTTTACCCATTCCTAACACCAGCTAATTTATGAATAAGTTAAAAAGCAAAGGCTGTAATGCCGATCACTGGAGGGAAGGCATACCACATACTTCCCTCCGTGCAGGGAACTGTCCATGTTTTTCTTCTGTAATTTATAGTAATATAGAGTTCTGGCACTGATTCTTGTTATGAGAATGGAAGATTCCTGTGTTCATCTGAGAAATTTTGGAAGGTATATTAATTGGATAATCACCTAAATGGGCATTATTTGAAGCCTTTCAGATGAGGCAACCTACGGATGCCACGAAGAAAGCCAATGTCACACAGGAACCCACTACCAATGGAACTACAGAAAATAAACCTGACTTGAAGATCTTTGTGTCTCACTTGTGGCAGTTTTTGTGTCAGCCGCACCACACTGGCTTAGCAGGTAATTATAACTTTCCCCCCTCAGTGACAAAGATCCAACCCAGCATAAATGATAGAATTCATCTGAAGTAGGGTCGCCAGATCCAGGTTGGGAAACTCCTGGAGATTTGGTGATGGAGCCTGGGGAGGACAGGGACATCAGTGGGGTACAATGCCATGAAGCCCTTTTCTCCAGGGGAACAGCCATTTTCTCCAGGGGAACTGATCTCTGTAGTCTGGAGATGACCTGTAATTCTGGGGGATCCCCAGGTCCCACCTGGAGACTGGCATCCATACCTCTGAGCTTCATGTGAGCTTTGTCCAGGGCTAAAAATAACCTAGTATAGGCTGGTATAGAGTACCAAGTAAGGAAGTGGCCAAATTGCTTCCTCTTATCTTCTGCTTCAAGCTCCCCAGGAGACACAGTACTGGTAAGAAATCATCTTTCCCCACTTTCACCCCTTTGTCTCTTGCATACAATGTGGGGTTATAAACTTAGTCATAGGTAGGCTGCTAGGTTCTGGGAAATAGCCAGAAAGCCTGCTTACAAGCCAATAAAATAAACATAGTTATCGGAAAAGCATTCAGATATCGCTTACTATCTGGAGCTTGTTTACAACAGCCTTCAGTTTGGTTTGCTGTCAGGCTCACACACTCCCTCCCTCCTCCCCTTTTTTTCCTCACCTCATGGCGTAGGGAGATTGAAGACAAAAAGTGGAGACGAGCTTCAGTTCTTCATGATATTTGGATGTGGGTGCAGAGCAAAGTTGGGTCAGTTTCCATCTCAGCAGCTGGAATTCTTGACTATGGTTTAATCATGGTAAAGAATCCCAGTTGCTGAAATGGAAAGTAACTGTCAGGTTGCTTAGCAGGATCACACCACACACCAAGGCTTCTTAAGAAGATAAGTGTTTAATGATAGCCCATTACTAAGAATGAGTATACAGCTTGTGTCAGGATTGACCTGCAATATGATGGCCACTGACTTAGGTCCCTGCCACACGGCAGGAAAAACACCGGCCAAAGTGCGGCTAATTAGAACTGCACCAAAATAGAGACGCTGGGGCGGGATCCCACGGATCCCCTGAGCCGCAGCACCGTTGCTCCCCGGCACGATCAGATGCCGGGGAGGAAGAGACGATCGGGAGGGGAGGCTGCCGAACTGTGCATGTGTGAGCATGTGCAGTTCGGCCGGGGGCCGGGGATGCACCAGCGGAAGGACGCGCCGGCGATCCCGCGCCCGGCCATGATGCGGACTTCCCGGATGAACCACCTAGGTAAATGGTTTATGTTTGCTGCGGGGTTTTCGGCGGAAGGGCCGGATCGGGAATGGGCGCGCAACACTTCCCAGATGTTGCGGCAGGATCGTGCCCGTTTGCTGCGCCCCCAATCCGGCCCTCTCCCAGCGCAAAACCTCTTGTGTGACCGGGGCCTTATAGTAAAATCAAACGCCCCCCCCCCATAAGCTAAAGCCTGCTTTTCTCTCCCTTATGGAGTCTCAAAGCAGCTTACAATCACCTTCCCTTCCTCTCCCCACAACAGTCACCTTGTGAGGTAAGTGAGGCTGAGAGAGTTCTGAGAGAACTGTGAGTGGCCCAAGGTCACCCAGCTGGCTTTATGTGGAGGAGTGGGGAATCAAACCCAGTTCTCCAGATTAGAGTCCATGGCTTTTAACCACTATACCATGGTGTCTCTAGAAAGATGGAATGAAGAATGTGAGCCCAACAACTTACCAGGTTCACATTAATCATAAACAAGCCCTGGCTTGTTTCTGGCATCTGAATTTAGACTAGAGCTGATTCTTTGAGTTTTATTTCGAAGAAGAAGAAGAGGAAGAGGAGGAGGAGGAGGAGGAGGAGGAGATTGGATTTATACCCCGCCCTTCACTACCCAAAGGTGTCTCAGAGCGGCTTACAAACTCCTTTCCCTTCCCCTCCCCACAACAGACACCCTGTGAGGTGGGTGGGGCTGAGAGAACTCTGACACAAACTACTCTTTTTCAAGGACAGCTGTGCCAGAGCTTGTGACTGACCCAAGGTCACATCAGCAGGTGCAAGTGGAGGAGTGGGGAATCAAACCCGGTTCTCCCAGATTAGAGTCTGCACACTTAACCACTACACCAAACTGGCTCTCTATTAGAATTCCCTGTCTTATGGAACAGATGAAGAAAATAAACTGTTTTAAAATTGGGACCTTATTTGGGTGGAAAGGCTGCATATAAGTGTTTCAAATAAATTAAAAGAAATAAGTTAAAAACCCTCTATCGCCTGAGCCCTCTTTATAACATATTTCCCACAATCAAAACTTGTGTTTTGCTGGGGAAGCTATTGAAGCCAGACTTTCATAGACCTTTTCAATTTTAATTCTGATTCCATGCTTGATTTTGTGGCTCCATCCATGTTCTTCAGAGTAATACAGCTATTTCTTACACCGAACACCCTAAGTGTAAATGTCATGTGTGCACTCTTAAACCTTGGTACATATAGGAAAACTGTATCATTTAGTACTCTCTCAACTACACAGCATTCTATGTTTTCAGTTTTTTCTTCTTCTAGACAACGCCACATGCAGACTTTGTCCTGAAAACTGGTTCCTGTATGAGGAGAAATGCTACTGGATCTCCAAAGAAAAAGGAAGCTGGAAGAAGGGTAAGGAAGACTGCACAGCAAAATCGTCTCAGCTACTGGTGATGCCGAAACAGAAAGACACGGTAAATATAGGCTAACCTCCAACCAACCCTTGGAGGGAAGGCGGCATGGTACAGCCCTGTCTTGTCAGATCTTGGAAGCTAAGTAGGATAGGGACTTGGGCCCCGGTCACATGGGAGGTTTTGCCCTGCAAGAGGGACGGATTGGGGGTGCATCAAACGGGAGCAATCACACCGCGACATCTGGGAAGCGGAGCGCACCTGTCCCCGATCTGTCCTTTCTGGGCGAAACCGCGCATTAAAAAAAAACCTAGAAAAGAGTACTACCTACCTGAAGCTCCGCAGCAAGGGCGGCCGTGGGATCGCCGGTGCGCCCGTCTTCCGCAGTATTTGAGGCTCCCGGCCAAACTGCGCATGCGCACACATGCACAGCCGGCTGCCTCGCTCTCCGTTCCATGGCTTCCCCCCACCCCGGCATCTGATCGTGCCGGGGAGCAACTGCGCGGCGGCTCGAGGGTTCTGTCTGATCCCGCCGCCGCGCGTCTATTTTGCTGCGGCTCAGAAAAGCCGTGCTTTGGCCGTGCTCCCCCCCCCCCATGTGACCGGGGCCTTGGAAGGGAGTCTACCAAAGAAGGTTCTGCAGAGGAAAGCAAAGGCAAACAACCTCTGCTTCTCAGTTACCTTGAAAGCCTCTTTCTGAGGTTGCTATAAGTTGGATGTGACTTTACACACACACACACAACATAAAAAGAGAACTCACATGGCATTCCCATGCCCAGGTGATTTGAGCTTAATATGCACCTAACTTTGCAACTGAAATAACAACTTTATTTATTCATTAAACACATTTATAATCTTCCTCACAATCGTATTTTTCTTGGAGGCTGACAACAGTTTAAAAACACATCAAAGGCATAAATGACAAACAGCAAAAACTATCGACAATTCTACAATGCATAAGACAACAACCAAGAAGCAAGGCAGCCATTATAAGAGGATTAAAACAGCAGAGGAATAACCCCATCAATATACCAGATGGTCTAGGAAAACAAAAAACATCTTAACCAGGCACCTGAAGTTCAAAAGAGTAGGTGCCAGCCAACTAGGTGTAGGAGGATGAGGTGACACATAATTTCTCCACTTCTATTAATAGCACATCCACGGCTTCCCACTTTGTGGCTTTGACTGCCGAGAGGAGGGATTGCCTCACAGAACTTTAAATGGATGAAGAAGTTGACAATTAGAAGTTCCGGGTGACTATATGGACAGTTATTTGACCTAAGCACTTTGTTCATCATGGAGGAATTACATGTATTGTGAAAATCTACCAATGTTAAAAAATCTTTATAGTAAATACATAGACATTTCCATAAAATAATATCTTAGTAATTATAACATGGTTGTTTGTATTGGTTGTTCAGCTTCTCCCGTGATCTCTCATAATTTGTAAACACCTGGAGGTTGGCAACCCTACACTGCAGACAAAGCTCTGTCTCTAGTGGCCACCTTTCATACCCCAAAGACGGGAGTAAAAAGAACAGAGCTCCTAAGCGCGACAGCTGGGCAAGTTTGTATGGGAAACTGATTCAAAGTTTTCCCTTCCCCTTTTGTTTTCCCTTCACATTTTGAGGTATGAAGCTTGGATGTGGCAAGAGCTGTGAGGCTTCCGGTGCAAGTTTAAAGGCAAGAACCAAAGGGCTCTTGGCCTTTGGTTCTTGGCCTATGGTATGCACATTATGTATGCATTGGACTGCAAGAAGATCAAATCAGTCAATCCTCAAAGAAATCAACCCTGACTGTTCCCTGGAAGGCCAGATAATGAAACTGAAGCTCAAATACTTTGGCCACCAAATGAGAAGGGAGCACTCACTGGAGAAGACCCTGATGCTGGGAAAGATTGAAGGTCAAAGGAGACGGGGACGGCAAAGGATGTGATGGTTAGACAGTGTCATAGATACAACAAACATGAAATTGAACAAACTTCAGAGGACGGCGGAAGACCAGAAGGCCTGGAGTGATCTGGTCCATGGGGTCGCGAAGAGTTCGACTCGACTGTGCGACTGAACAACAACAAATGCACATTATGGCCAAGGTGATATCACGCCTCTGTTGAGCGTCCTCCTCTTCCCAAATTCCTCCCTCCCCAGGCAATGGCCTCAAATCCTCAGGAATTACCCAAGCTGGCGTTGGCAACCCTAGATGGGGCTAGTTTGCTGATTCATAGATGGGATGTCAGTAAGGGGTGTGCACCAAGAACAAAAATTGTTAGACTTTCATAGCTGGGGTTGGACAAAGTCTGTAATTGTTTATGTTCATGTAGGACATTACCAGCTCAGAATTAAAATCCATGTGGGTTTTTGGGTTCTGGAACTTTGACTGCGATCACATACGCCTTTAGATCCAACATAGCTGCAAATGCCTGATGGATCTAAAGGGCACAATCAGACAGCAGCATCTGGGAAAGGTCCTGCAGTTGTCGGCAACCTGTACTGCCCCACCACAGAAGTGGAGGAAAATGACACCGGGGAAAGTCTGGCTCTAACTGGTTCTGATGGGCCACGGATGGACTTTCCCTTGTCCAATCACTCAAGCACACTCTCCAAGCTGTTAGGATGGTCTGATCATTACAACCTAACCTGGTGCCAGGTTTTTTCCCTTGCTGAGCAGTATGCACATAATCGCATACTCCATGGGGAACCCTCAGTGTGGAGGTGCGATTCCTCATTTATGTGCATGGGAAACACAAGGCAAAAAAGAGACTCACCCATGGTGGCATCTTACCACACAGTGAAGGGCTGAGCCCACAGCACAAAGGAATATGTGATCTTGCAACTGTGAGTCAAATTCCTCTGGAGGAAATAGGGGCGTTTCCCCTCCGCACCAACTGGTGCATGTGACCGCAACTCAGGAGACCATTTTTTATCAATGAGTCTACTGGAGGGTCTAGGGCAACTGATTAGAAAGATAATGGCACCAAATTTGCTCAGAATATACTCTTCTCCCTAATCTAAAGACCTCCCAAGTTCCAAGAGAAATGGGCCAAGGGGGTTGGTTTTATAGACCCCTGAAGCAGATGTCCCTCGGCCCAGGCTCAGTTCTCTCCATTGATTCCTGTCATGTGGGGTGGGGGGCTTGGTGCTGGCCACCAGCATTAAAAAAAAAACTTATCAGCATTCATTTCATTTTCCTACTCTTACGGTAACTGATTGACATGGAAAAAAATTACCTTGCTGCAGAAAATGCTGTTGTTTGCCATGCTTTCGTGCTGTAGTCTGTTACATTTTACAAAGCAAGGAAGGATATCAGTATAAGGCAGCGTCACATGTATCTCATAAACAGTAATTTTCAGAAAAAAGTAATTCCACTCCCCACAACAATGCTAATCTAATACAGGAGCACCTTGCCTATGGAAGCTCATGCTATAACATATTTGTTCCTAAGATGTCATAGGATTGATTGTTGTTTTATTGCTGGTTTGAATATAGGGGGCAGAGGATTGGTCTTTCTTTTTTTTGGGTATTTTTAAATATATGTATATGTGTTCTTGTGTGTGTGCACCTGGAAGTCATGGTGACCTCTGGTGACTGACTTCTACTGGGGGCCTGGAGAATATTCAATGAGGTGGCTGAATAAAGCCTGCCCCTGCCCTCTCGGCTGCTGGTATTCCAAGGGTGTCTCCCAACTGAGGACTTGCCAGAGTCGACCCTGCTTAGCTTCCAGGATCTGACAAGATCAGGCTTCCCTGGGCTATCCAGGTCAGGGCAGGATTGGTCTTTCTCACAGAGCAAACAGTTTTTTGTTTTTTAAAAAATCATTTAAAACGACACCATGGGGATAATTATGCTGTTTACAGGCTTTTATCCAGAGTATTAATGAAGAGATGCAATTGCTGTGGATTGGACTACAAACTACATTCCCTGAACAAAAATGGATATGGGTGGATGGCTCCCTATTAGATGACAAACAGTGAGTATTTCCTTCTACTGTTTAGGCTAAACTCTTATGCACACATATAGCAGGACTTATTTCTGAATGAATGTGCAATAGATCAGAAATAGATTCCAAGTGGAAACCTGTAACAAAATGTTGCATTTTCCTTATTGTATTTCTCAAATATGTCTTAAATTCAGACTTATATTGAAGTGCAGTTTGGGTCAAGTTAAAAACAATCCATGCCATTTTATTATGGACGAATGTATGTAAGCTGTAATGTCAGCTACTTTGCTGTTTATGTAGAAGGGAAATAGCAAAGTGGCTCTTTAAAACTCAAATGGTACTACTAGGATAGCTCTCTGGATGTGCAGTTGGAGGGCAGGAAGGGGCTTGTTCCTTACCAGGTGCCCATGGGCAGTTTTTCAATGAGGCTGAATTTCAAAATATCTGAATCTTTAAAAAGCCAAATGGCAGTTTCTGAGGCAGGAGTCAACCAAGTGCCTCTATAAGCATCCAACTTCTGAAATGCTAGAGACCGCCTTCTTTATTTCGCAGATCACAAGACCTGGGCCCTGTGGAAACAAACAGCTGTGGGATGCTGAATGGGAATGACATTATTTCTGAAGCCTGCGGTACTGTGACCACATGGGTCTGCGAGACAGAAGCCCTCAATATAAGCAATGATAAAATGTAAAGGACAGAACACTGTCCTGGTTCTGCCAGGAGTGATGACTGGATAGTGTGGTGGAGGCAAAACACAATTGCCTCTGTTCCAGCATGAAGAAACCCTCTGGTGTGAACTGAGCCCTTCAAAAGGAAGAATCCCACTAATTGGGCATCCACATGATGTGGGGGCCCTGTTCATACCCTGAAGGAGTATCTCTGCACAGTGGAGGGGAAGGTCTCATGCTGTTTCTCTTCTGTGACATTTCAATGCCATCATCACCTGTATTAACACCCACCAGCATGAGTAGTGCTCACTTAAGAATTTTAAAGGTGTACATTGACCACCAAAAATATGAATATTTTTGACAGAGATGGGCTAACCCCAAAAGCTGATGATCAATTACCAACTGTATTCCAAGTTACAGGGGTCTTTGAAGAAGGAGGATCATGTAGATCATGTATGGGGCATATAGTCCATTGGGAATAGGCACATTTCAGAAACCTGGAAGGAAGTGTAGAGCACATTAGACTTCTTCAGCACTGATAGAGAATGTGGTGCTCATTTTGATGTTTGTAATGTTTTATGAATCACTCATTTTTATGTGTATAATATTTTATAAATCAGTTAACAAAAAAGAAAACTATGTCGAGGTTCACTTTTGCAACAAACAAAATTACCTATACCAGCAAGGTATCTTTTTTTGGAGGGAGTGTATTTGGCCTTTTTTATTTTACCTGATTTGTATTAGAAATGTTTTGATTATTATCTGTAAGCTACTCTGAGCCAAGGGGAAAATAAACATTTAAATAAAATTTTAAGAAGGAAATGAGACACAGGAAGCCACTATTGTAATGCCTCATCCTTCTATCAAATTTTTTGATTTTTTTTTAAAGGTTATGGCAGTAGTACATTCAAACATATAGGTGATGGAAGATATCTACCTGATGTTGTTTTGATATAGTTCCTAATTTGTAAATATTGATAAGTTAGTCCAGAGCCTGTTGCTACCTTTTGTTTGCAGCAAAACAAAATTAATTATCCTAAAAAGCTGTGAATCACAGGCATAAATGAAGAAGTTTGCAGCTCCAACAGGGCTTTCCATTTCCCCCATGTACTTCATGTATAAGGCTTCCTTTGGTCACATTTATCCTTCCCAAGCCAAATAGAAAGTGGAGTATCTATATCACCCATAATAATAATTAATAACAATTATCGTATGGCATTGTGTGTCATGTAGCCAGGAGATGCTAAGATAGTCTGGCAGCCAGAAGTCTTTTAGCTTTATGCACCACTATGTGGTGAGCGAGACTTGTTTTTAAGGCAAGAGATATTTCAGAGGTGATTTGCCATTGCCTGCCTCTGTGTCATGCCCCTGGTATTCCTTGGAGGTCGCCCTTCCAAATAAGGCCGACCCTGCATAGCTTCTGAGATCTGACGAGATCAGGCTAGCCTGGACTATCCAGGTCACCCATAAATCTTGTAGAACAGGAAAGTGACTGAGATTTTGCTGACTGCACTGAACACCTGAAGGCGGATTACACTAGGTCAGTGTACATATACAAGGTCAGTGCTTGTCTACTGACGTTCCCTTTTGCGAGACCCCCCTCTTTCCATTCTGCTGGCCTTGGGGAGCTGCCCCCAGCAGAAATGAGGGAAGGAAGATTCCCACACGATATCACGAACCTAATGAAATGAAATGGTTCATTAAACAGTGTGACCCCATGAACCAAACCTCCGTTTTCCTGGTTCGTGCCCATCCCTAGCCTAGAGCCCACTTTTTTTTTTGTTCGTTCATGCTACGCATAAAACTCTCCTCCAATACCACATTTCAAATGTATCAACTTTCTTTCTGTCAACTTTCTTCACTGTCCAACTTTCACACCCATACAGAGTACTGGGGAATACTATGGTAGGAATTATTTTGATTTTGGTCACCAGCGACACATCAAGGTAATTCATACCATGCACAGGGGTCATTTCCTTCAGGAGCACACAGGAGCGGAGCTCCGGCAGTAAAGAGCCCAGGGGGCGGGCACATGCAACAAGCCCCCCCCCTGCTCCCAGCAGCCCTCAGTCAGAGCAAGAAGCAGCCAGGTAAGTTGCAGAGCCCCACCCGGTCCAAAAACAGTCCAGTGGCACCTTTGAGGCCAAATTTTATTCAGGTACAAGCTCTCCCTCCTCTGTGAGGACAGATCTGCACATCCCCCCCCTCCAATAGCTAGCAATCCAAAACAGTCCAGTGGAGCCTGAGTGGTGGGTGTTGTCTTCTGACACACTTCCAGTGATGTCAGGGGGTGTGGCATATGCAAATAAGTTATGCTAATATGTTATGCTAATGAGCTCCTGCACCTCTTTTTCTATGAAATGACCCCTGACCATGTGCATATTTCACATATATTGTTACACGCTCATTACTTCTGCAAATGCTGAGAAGTTCCATTGGCAGTGCTTATCTGGCTTAGTTCTCTTGTGAAGAAGAATGCTCTGCCTCTGAATCTTAGAATCAGGGGGTTTATGGAGGTTACCTTGTATTTATTTATTTATTATTAATAGTTTAGATTTCTGAATCACCCAATTCCTGATTACACAAGGCTCTGGGCGATTTACATCAGTAAAACTATACATAAATATACCATAATCACTAGTTAAAATACAATAAATATAATATTACAAATGTAAAATTAATCCCCAGATGGCGTTCATGGTCTACTATTGACCAGTTCTGGACCGTGTTGCCACCTCGCAAGTAGGCTAGAGAGAAAGGGGGGAAAGGAAGAGGAAGGTGCCAGCTATGTTATTGCCCGTCGCCCTCAATCAAAAGCCTGGCAAAACATTTCTGCCTTGCAGGCTCTGAGGAATTGCATTAAGTCCTGATGTTTTATTTATTTATTCAATTTATACCCTGCCCTCCTTGCTGTACCACCAGGTCAGAGCCAGGGCTGAGTAGGCCCTGACTCTGGTCAAGGACAGCCGGATATCTTTAGAACCAGGGATCACCAGTAGATTGCTTTCAGTGGAGCGTAATGCTCTTTGGGGAACATGCCAGAGGAGGCGGTATTGAAGATACGTGGGTCCCACACCACTCAAGGCCTTAAAAGTCAATAGGAAGACCTTGAACCTGACTCGGTACTCCACTGGAAGCCGGTGTAGTGGCGCAGCACAGGTTGCATATGTGCCATCCATGACATTTCCGTCAGGACCCACACTGCCACATTCTGGATCAGTTGGAGTTTGCAGGTCAGTCTCAAGGGTAGGCCAGCATAGAGTGAGTTACAGTAGTTTAGCCTGGAGGTGACCATTGCATGAATTATTGCAGCTAGGTCAGGGCATGACAAGAAAGGGGCCAGTTGTCATGCCTGGTGTAGATGGGAAATGTCAGCTTGGCCATATTTATGACCTGTCAAAAAGGTCTCCCTGCCCAACCCGAGCTAAAGACCTTTTCACTAAGAGGCTGGCTAGCTGCAAATTACAAAAGGTGTTGGAAGCACCTGGGCACCTCCAGCATAAGTAGTCTGCCAGCAATCCTTCTATGTCCCTCCAGCCAGGAGCCAAAGGACAAACTCCTGACCTTCCTGGGATTAACTCCCTGTGAGGTTGGCTCACGGTAGGAAACCCACCAAAGTTACTATTATGGTAGAGGACCACCAATTTAAGCACTAGATTCCTTATTGCAGCTATAGGGACAGAGAATCAGAGTTTAATATTCAAAATATAATTTTATTAAAGTGCAAAGAATTACTTAAAATACTGTGAGGAAGGAAAACAATAGAAGTAGAGATTAAGAGGCTAACTAGACACTTTAAAACCTTGGTTTCAAAAAGACAAGATCAGAGTACTGGGTCCAAAGCACCTCTTTTCCAGAGTCCCAAGAGCCAAGATGGTTGGCTTCAGCAGCAAAGTCTCAAGATGGCCAAAGTGAGCAAGAAAATGCCAATGTGTCAGTGCAACATGCAGGCACCATCAAGCCTTCAGAACAGGCTTCAATATGGAAGATTTATTGTCTGAATCCTAGATCATTGCTAGGCCTTTACACCAACCAGGGTTCAGGCAATATCCTATAGTTACAGCCAATGTTCCCTCTAAGCTGTGGAATCTTGTGAGCAAAAATTCTACCTTGTGAGCTACTGGTATTAAAGTTGTGAGCAAGCAATTTGGCTACTGCATAAATTAGTTTGCTCTGGAGCCATCCTCCCTGAGCTAAGATAAAAATCTGTGAGCCAGAGGCTAAAAACTATGAGCTAGCTCACACTAACTCAGCTTAGAGGGAACACTGGTTACAGGTAAACCAATCAGCAACAGGATGATTTCATTGGTTCTCTGTCCATGTCAGAAGGGCAGTGGGGTGATCTGCAGCGCACTCCTCCCCTGCCTCCTACAGGCTAATTGAATGGAGTGTTAATTGGAGAACTAAGCTGGAGAAGAACATCTTATCTTGCAGGTGCAAGGCCACACTATGCTCTTCCTAGCACAACTGTGTGAAACTCTGGAGACAGAGACAAACAATTTCAGGCCTCAGCCAGGCTGAACCAAACTTTTTAGAACAGAACTCCTTTTTGAATGAACCAAACTTCTTGACACCTCCATCGATAAGGAGGTGTCCAGGACCATGCCCAAATTCTTGACAGCTTTCACCGGTGTCAGTGGTGCCACATCAAGGGTGGGAAGTCTGTGCCCCAATCCTGACCCCCACCCCCCAGCCACAGAACTTCCGTCATTGTTGGGTTCAGTCTCAGCCAGCTCTTTTTAAACCCTCCCACCACGGCCTCCAAACCCGTGGCTGAATTATGCGGGGAGGGAACTGGGTGGCCATCCATTCACAGATACACCTGGTGTCATCAGCATACTGATGGCACCCCAGCCCGAAACTCTGCACCAGCTGGGTGAGGGAACTCATATAGAAGTCAAATAGCATTGGGGAGAGGATTGCCCCTTGAAGTACCCCACATATTTAGGGGTGCCTACTTGACACCCTCTCTCCCAAAGCCACCCTCTGTCCATGTTATTTCTTCCTCTTCAGCTTGCTTCAGCTTTCCGGCAGATCCAAAAGAGTTCTGTGCGGCATCTTAAGGAGACAGGAGTGGCTTGATTGTTTAGATAAACACAATGTCCTTCTCCAATTATTTCCAGCCTGTAATACAAACACCATAAAGCTTGTATCAAAGAAGAGGTAGCCAAGTCCCAACAGATACAGATTCTTTCTTAGGGGAATACAGTTAACAGCAGTTTTCAAGAAAAGGATGCATAGAATTTACATTATCATTTTTTTTAAAGTACCCATAGGTACACTTTTATTAATTTTTCTTTTATAATCTACAACAAACTAATCTACACACTACAAACAGACACTCTACTACACATAACATGTATGCCAAGAGTACAGTTACATTATATGCTTATAACCAATTACTTAATTAATAGAAACGCTCTATCTCTTTCCATTCTTCTGTCTTCTGTGTTCTCAAGTCCATTATGCCATAATTGCCTAATCTTCTATTGTACTTACATTATACCAATCATAAAACTTTTTCCATGTTTTTTGAAATGTCCACTCTTTGCTTAATCTCATTTCTAAAGTTAGTTTATCATTTTCTGCTGTTTCAAAGAGTTTATTCACAAATTCCTGTTTTGTTGGTATCACCATAGTTTTCCAATATTTGGCATATAAAATTCTTGCAGCTGTCGTCATTATCATTGAACGCTTGTACAGATGAATTTGCAATGACCCTGCTCTTAGCTCTGCACACAATTCCAGCATTGCTGTCTGTAAAAACCCACATGTGCTTGGGGAAACAGTTTATCGGTCTGGACCTTTTGGAGGAGATATCTGCACAAGCTCCACCACCGCCACCACTTTTTGATTGGTCAAAACATTATTTCCCTCCTTCCCCTGAAACACAAACTAGTGGGAAGGGGACTCCAAAGGACCCTGTGATGGACAGCCCCTAGTTCCCCCCTCCCGGAGTTTCCACAGCCTCTCTGTTGTGGGTCAGCTGCTGGGCAAAGTTAACCCTGAAGGGCCAGAGGCATCTTCAGAAGAGGAACGGACATGTGAAGAAGGTCCCACCCCACAGGCTACTTCCACACTGCCTACCAATGATTCACAGCCCGATAGCAGTATCCCAGCTGTACAGTCCCATGGCTCAGTATCAGGGAGCACCCCACTATCCACCTTGCCTCCCCCGTCTCCAGGGCTGTTGGAGCACAGACGAAGGAGGGTTCAACATGAGATGTTGGAAAGACAGTGGAGTGTGCGATTAGGAGACCAGTGACACCTGGATCCAGACAGTAAGGATGTGTGTGTGTGTACATGCATGATGCAACCCAGCAGCAAGGCGGATGATAGAGAAAGGGGGAGTCTGGTTGTGGAAGCAACGCATCACTTTACGCCCAACCCTGCCGCTGCCACCCCTGCCTTGTGACTCTGGACCTTTGGACTGTATTTGGACTCTGATTTCTAGATTTGCCCACGAACCTGTTGCTACTGCCAAATTACCTACACTGCATTCAACCTGGCAGCTAGATTCTGAGCACTCATTGCCAGCTGTGCCCATGCCTCGTCTAGCTCACGCTACAGCCTGGCTGACCTGCCTTGCACCTAGCGTGTTCCAGGATGCTCTCATTGGCTGATGCCGCTTAGTATCTACCTACTTTCCCTGTAGGCAGGGATTTGCTGGATGCGTGCAGGGTGGAACAAGAGGCTGTCCCCATCACAGGTCTTTTGTCAGTTCTGTCAGCTTTCAACCCTGGGACGCTTGGCCTGCCTTCACAAGGGACATGTAACTACTAGGAGGTTAAAGTTATCTGGAAATGACACTTTTTATTTCTAATTTCTATGTTTCTCATCCCCAGTTCCCCTCGTTTGCATGTCTGTGTGCCTAGCACAAGCCTTTTAAAACTGGTTCCCCCTCTCTCAGCGGCTGTGTTGATCTTCCATCTTGATCCAACTGCTTAGCTCACCCTACTGAGAAAAGGTGAGAGAGAGAAGGAGAAGGAAGCCATCACTCATCTTCAGACTCTGGACCTTAGATCTGGGAAGGAAAGGAGCTTGTGGGTGGGGAGTACCATACCAAGGCCCCGGTCACACAAGAGGTTTTGGGCCGGGAGAGGGACGGATCGGGGGCACAGCAAACGGGCGCGATCCCACCGCAACATCTGGGAAGCGTTGTGCACCTGTCCCCGATCCGGCCCTTCTGCCCAAAACGCCGCAGCAAAAATAAACCACCTACCGAGGTGGTTCTTCCGGCAAGGCCGCATCAAGGCCGGCCGTGCGACCGCTGGTGCATCCTTCCACCGGCGCATCCCCAGCACATGCGCAGTTCGGCAGCCTCCCCTTCCTGACCGTGGCTTCCTCCCCGGCATCTGAGCATGCCGGGGAGCAACGGCGCCGTGGCTCAGGGAATCAATTGGATCCCGCCGTGGCGTCTCTATTTTGGTGCGGCTCTGATTAGCCACACTTCGCCTGTTTTTTATTCTGCCGTGTGGCCGGGACCCAAGTGATGCAAATTGTGTTTCGCTCCTGTTGTAATAAATACAGTTTTGCTTAAGCCAGGGTGTGTGAGTAGGGTGGCCAGCTCCAGGTTGGCAAACACCTGGAGATTTTGTGGGTGGAGTCTGAGGAGGGTGGGGTTTGGGGAGGGAGGGACTTCACTGGGGTGTAATGCCATGAGTCCACCTTCCAAAGCAGCCATTTTCTCCTGGTGATCAACTACAATCACCTGGAGATCAGTTATAACCCCCGGAGATCTCCAGCCACCACCTGAGGGCTGGCAACCCTACGTGTGAGTAGTGGGGAGGGAGGGCTTTACGAAAGGAGGCCCTAAGCCTTAAACCCGCCCTTACTTCCAGCACCCAAGTCACAATAAAGCTAAGTATTGTGCAGAATGACAACGTTCAGAGCAATAAAATGACCTCACCCACCATCACGTTCCAAACAATAGATATATCAACTGTTGAGGCCTTCCAGTCAAGACTATGAGGGAACAAACAAAACTCACGTTGAATTTTCTCCATTGGTCCATTTCCAGGGCTCATTTGGCTCTCTTTTGAGACCAATCCAAAAAGGGGCTTTGCCTTTGTGAGTCATCACAAAATCCTTTCGAGACAAGAAGGAGTGCACGTTAGAGCCCTGACTTGTAGTCAGCAAATGAGAATCAGTTTTCTTTCTTTAAAAAAGAATTGCACTTACTGGCACTTGTTCTGAGTTTTGCTTTGAGCAGTCACACATATTTGGGGATGAATCCTATGCTGATTGAGTCAAGGAGGCTTCTGGTGCTCTGGCAGCACTCTTGCTCCTCCCCACTATACAAATGCACCAGTGCTATGGGGTCCAGAAAACTATGACACTGCCTCTCAATGACACAAGCACAGCAAATTGTTTTGATCACATGCAGCTGTTGTCTGGCGGCCTATATGTAATGTCACCTGGGAGTCTACCGGCCCCCTTTCCTTGAAACTGAGTTAGGGCAGACACTATGTAAAGGGACTTGGGAAAGTACAATGTTGAATTTATGTACGTCAGGGCCTGTCAAGTCACAGCAGTCTAATGGCGACGCCAGCAAGGGGCTTTCCAGGCAAGTGAAGGCAGAGCTGGATTGCCATTGCCTTCCTCTGCAGAGTCTTCCTTGGTGGTCTCCCTTCCAAGTACCGACCCTGCTTAGCTTCTGAGATATGACAAGATCAGGCTATACCATGCCACCTTCCTTCATGCTGCTTTTGCAGTGTAGTTATTGCTTCTTCTACAGCCTACATCCAGCATAGCATACACTCCTTGTTCAAGCAAGGGTAGCTAACAGCCAAACAGCAGCAGATCAACCTATTTTGCTTGGCCTGCTGGCCCAATTCTCTGCTCAGGCAACAGAAGCAAGACCCTGAAGCTCAGGCAGGGCCGATGGTGCTCAGCTCTCTTTAGTGTGCCACTGCCAGCCCAAGCACAACCCTCATTTCCTACTACAATAGTTTGGTGGCACACCAACATCTTCATGGGTTGGTGCTGTGGGTTATTCATGACTCAGGCCAGAAATGTTGCTCTTCCCCAGGTTTTTTTTTTTTTTTTTTTTAAAAGAGGTAACAGTAGAGTTGCAAGGTCTTATCTGGCTGGTGGTGGTGGTGGTGGGGTCCCAGTCCCAGAGTTCTTTGTTTTTCCTTAAATGATTGAGCGTCCCCCTTGCAATGTGCCCGGTGTGATAATGTCACCTCCAGGTGACGTCACTGCGGCGGGCACATTGGTGCACATGAGGCTCTTTGGGGGCATCAGGGCCAGTGGATCTGGGGCCGCAAGAGTGGGTAAACTCTCGTTGGGGGAATGGAAACCCTAGGTGCTGGAACTATCAAGACACATGAAATGAAATTTTCAATCTGTATACTGAAAACTCATGAACTTTTATACATCTTAAGAAGAATTTTGTGACAGAGGTTCTGGAACTCCATTCCAGCACGTTCCACCAGAAAAAAAAGCCCTGCTCCTCCATACATCTGCAACTGGTCTAAGATGATCCTTATATTGGATATATATACATAGCCTTAGAGATGCCAGTGGATTCCTCAGCGGTTCGAAAACTTCGGCGAGTAGATAAAATGGGTACCACTCCTTAGAGAGGGTGAGCACACTAAACCCCCCGGTGGGGGAGATGTTAGCCGGCAAATGGAATGTCCAGTGCATAAGATCGAAAGCCTAGAAAGAACTCTTCGGCATCAAGAAAGCCTGTAATGGGCCGTCCAGCCAGGCAGTGGCAGTGCTGCGCTGCAACTTGAAGCAGTCCTGGAGAAAGCTGACGACATCAAGCCACGCTGAGGGAAAAATGCCGTTGGAACATGTCTGACCCTACAGCTGAACAAACTCCCTGTTGACTGCAAACGTGTGTGATTTAAAGATTTATATGTTGTCCTCCCTTACCCCTTTGAATCATTGTTAGTCCCGTGTGTATATGAGTAACTATAAATCGCTCAGAGCCAGCAGCTCTGCAGGATTGAGCAATTAATACATTGAAAGATGATTATTATTATTGTTATCATTATTATTATCATCATCTAACCATTGTAAAGAAATGCTTCAACAAACCCAGAGAGGATTTTAATGAAAAGACACAGCAGCCTTTCAGAGAGAACAGGAGGGGGGATAGGTAGGAAGGATAACTGAGAGTGATGATCCATAATAACTTTAATTGGCTTTAAACTGTCTTCCACCTCCTTTTCTGCATTCTTTTTTGCCATGGTAAATATTTATCTGGGATCTCACAGGGCAATTGGTGGGAAGGGAAGGCCATTTTGAGCAAAAGGATAGCTAGGGAGAGGAAAGGTTAAGTATATACACACACACCAGTCCCCTTTCAAACGCACATTGATTTTCATTACTAAAAACACTGGGGCTTTTATTACATGCATTTGGTTGTAATTTTTGTGTATTTTGCCATTAAGCTTCACAACCCCACTCTCTGTACAACAGAGATAACAGCCTGGCAGGCAACGGTATTGATGCTTCTCACCTTTTCCAGGCTGGGATTAAACGTGATCAAGGAGGCCTCCTGTGACAAGCAGAAACTCTGGCTGGAGGTCCAGTTCCTTTTTTCTTTTGAAAAGTAATAGCACATTCCTCGAGATCTAATCCAGTCAGTTGGGCAAGGCGGGACAGAGTGACAAAGCGGGACAGAGTGACAAGGCAGGACAGGCTCAGCTCTTTTTCTTGCTAGTACTGGGGAAGAAACAGATCGTTCACAGTGTCATATTATCTAACCGGGAAGCACAGATAGAAAGAAGACTGACTGCACAAGATCCAACATGTATCCCAGGTGCCCTTAGCACCTACATGCACAAATGTCTTAATGTTTCCAGCCGCTGTTTCCAGAGAGGCTGCCACATTGATCTGCTACAGCCAAAAGAGCTAAGCCTTGTGGCACCTTAAAAACTAGCAAATATATTAAGGCAGACAATTTCATGTGCCAGAGCTCAGGCAATCACTCATTTCCTCTACCCCTTAGAGGGTATCATTTCTGCATTCCACACAGCCCCAGTCACGAGCTTGTAATGTATTCAGAAGCTGCCATTAATGCATTAAGATATATGTGAAACACCTCATAGGGAAGCAATGTTAAGCTTCGTCTTGGGCAGGGATTAAAGCCCAAGGCAAATGTGTCCAATCACGTTCAAGCAAGCTGTAAGCGGGAACAAAGGTGATTGGCTCTTATACGCTCAATCGTATTGGTTGTTATGTGTATAGTAGGCGTGGCTATATTAGCCGGGAAATGTTTAAATACTGAGCAGCTACTATGGACAAGCTGTTCGGGCTATCAGATGTTGTACCGTGTTGGAGAAGTGTTCGTGTTGAAGATTAAACTTGAGTTTTTGCTGAAATCACTCTCTGACTATTTGTTAAGCGCTGGACTTAACAGAACTCTTTTCTCCTGAGATGGGAAGGAAGCGTGCCTCATTCCTTCGCTTCCAGAAGTGGCCTGTCAGATCAGACGCCCCTTCTCAGCTCTAGGTTTGTGGGAAGAGGGAAGCAGCAGAGTGGGCTGGATATAAACTACAGGCTTCGTTTTGCTGACCCATACAGTCTTGACATTTATTTAAAGCCAATGTCGTGTTTAGCTCTTGTCAGGGCTATTTTTGGGCAGGAACGCACAGGTATGGAGTTCCGGCTGGCTTCAGAGTTGGCCACGCCCACTACAGCCAAAACTTCTGCATGCGTGGCTACAGAGGGAAGGCCTGGAGAGCAACCCCCCCTGGCAACTCCAAAGTGGGCAGGCCAGGGGGGGCCCTGGAAGGATCAGGGAGGCATTTAAATGCCTTCCCCGGCCTGTCCAAGGGCCGGCTTGCCTGGGCTTCCCGCAGCCGTGGGGCACCCAGGCAAGCCAAGGGAAGGCATGGGGGTGTGGCCTAATATGCTAAAGAGCTGTGCTGTCAGGGGTGTGGCCTAATATGCTACTGAGTTTCTGCTGTTGGGTGTGGCCTATTATGCTAATGAGTTCCTGCTGGTCTTTTTCTACAAAAAAAACCCTGGCTCTTGTGAGGATGATGTTTTGTATTGCAGAAAGCAGAGGAGATGTTATATTCACAGCATGTAAGCATGAAACAGCAGGGCCCCACCAGTGGCATTCTGTCTGTGTAAAGGACATGTGAGGCCACAGTGCCACATGGCATCTATTCTCATGCCCTGATGCTCAGTTCAATATTCTGCTATAGGATCAGGTGGCAGGTGGGCCCAAAACAGAATCCTGACCCATATTTTCACAGCAACTCAGAGGATCAACTCATACCAGTCATCAAAAGTTACCAAAGCAGAGGCTGAATGGTGGGAATCGTTATCCACAAATATTTTTGACATGCTGTCTGAGGATATGCAGCTACATTTAATACAACCAGGAAGAAACATTTCAAGTTCAGCCAGCTTACCATCTGCAAAGATGACCAGGAAGGTGATTACGATAAATAATGCGACAGAACCCACAATGTATTTCCATAAAGGGGTATTCTGTGCTGAACTGCAAAAGGGAAAACATAATACTTGTTAGTTCTCCTACACCTCCCCCAATGGAAAAGACTTCTCCCTCCCCCACAAACCAAGATGTGACCGGAGTTCAGAAATCAACTTAAAAAACTGAGAACAGTTTTAAGAGTCTACAGAGTCTAGGATAGAGGAGTGTGTATTAAGAGGATAGGAAGTAGGCTTACAATTTCATGTGACCCCACTGGGGGCGGGGCCACAGTCATCTGAGGGAAAACTCTATGGTTTTCCCTCGGATGGTCGTGGCCCCGCTCCCAGTGTGCCCGGCGTAGTCGCGTCACTTCTGGGTGACGTGCATGTTGGGGTGGAGCTCCCCCCGGGGCCCGATCAGGCGGCGGCGGGGAACAGGCCTCTGGGGCGGGGGTTTCCCCACCCCCCGGGGGATTTGGCAAGCCTACTTCCTACCCTTTTAGTACACATTCCTCTATCCTAGACTCCGTAGACTCTTAAAACTACAGAGTTTAAAACTACAGAGTTTGCGCGCGCGCTCTCCCGGAGCTAGCCTGGAGTCCCCCGCTGTGGATAAAGGTAAGACTTGGGAACCCTAGTAGGAAGAGAAGTGCCAAGGTGGCAGAGAGGATTGTTGGAGAACCGACAGCCTGCTAAGAGCCTAGTAGAAAAGAGTAAGAGTCCAGGAGCACCTTAAAGACTGACTAATTTTGTGGTAGGGTAGGAGCTTTCATGAGTCACCATTCCCTTCTTCAGAAATGAACAGTGACCCACAAAAGCTCATATTCCATCACAAATTTTGTTAGTCTTTAAGGTGTTACTGAACTCTTGCTCTTTTCTACTGCTACAGACAGACTAACACAGCCACCCATCTTGATCTTGCTATGAGTCTAGTTACTGTAAATACAGCAGAAAGAGTGGTTTGGTTTGGTCCACTTGTACCCTAGGGGGAGCTGTGGAGCATTCTCTAGTGTTTAGGGTTTATTGAATGTTTTTCTCTTGCAGTTCAACCCACCTCTTGTTTCTCTCTCTGCCGTGTGTTAGTATGTGTTAGTGCTTGTGCTCCGAAGGCCTCTCTGTTGCATTAGTGGCCTGCAGTCAGTTATTGTCTTTTTGCAAAATCCTGTTGCAGTAAATCCATTGAAAACAAACTCCAAAGCAGCAGAATCCAGGAAATAATCCAGACATGGCTCAAAGTCAGCGGAAGCAAGACAAGTGGGCACAAGGAAGACAAACTAAAAAGCAGCAGAGCTGACGAAAACAACGGATGACGGAGGCATAGAGCTGAGGAAAGCCGTGACTAAATGCTATCTCTTTGGCATTAAGGGGAAACCTTGCCTTAGGCCAAGTGAAAATGCCAGATGGCAGGATGGTTGCAGACAGGCAAGGGGGGGGCTTCAGGGCTGTGGGCCCAGGAGCCACGGATGCATCTGCAGGGTCCACATCCTGCAACTTCCTGGAAGGTGCTGCACGGATAAGAGGATGATCTCTGCCTTCTTTGCAAAACTAATCCACAAACAGGCTGCCAAGGAGGTGGTCCCAGTCCTCCAGGTCCTGGTTTAGTGATGTATGGGACTGTTGCAAAAAGAGCTCTATTTCAGATGATCTGAAGAAGAGTTGACAAACTCATTTGTTACGAGATCTGACAAATGTCTCTTTGTCAGGCCAGTCCATGTGTGCCATAAAATGTAGCACCAGGTGCCAGAGATAAAAAAGGACACAGGCAAACCCAATTAACAATATTATTTTTACTCAAAATACAAACAAAAGCAATTGATTCCTAGCAGTGAAAACAAATGATTTACTGAAGAACCCACAAAGGCCCCAATAAATGTATTCAATCATATGCAAGACTAGTTTCCCCCCCCCAAAGGATACCATAAAAGGGGGAGTACTTTACATTTCCATAGTTGCCAGTTGCTTGAGGGCCGGGTAAGAGCCCTAGATGGGCTGGTTCCAGCCCCCAGGCCTTATATTTGACACCCATGATCTAAATGGCGTTTCTCTAAAACATCCCTTGAGTTTTTCCAGCTGTTAACTCCAGTTTGGTGTAGTGGTTAAGTGTGCGGACTCTAATCGGGGAGAACCAGGTTTGATTCCCCGCTCCTCCACTTGCACCTGGCTGGATGACCTTGGGCAAGCCATAGTTCTGAAAAGAGTTTGTCTTGAAAAAGAGCAGTTTCTGTCAAGAGCTCTCTGAGCCCCGCCTACCTCACAGGGTGTCTGTTGTGGGGAGGGGAAGGGAAAGGAGTTTTTAAACCGCTCTGAGACACCTTTGGGTAGTGAAGGGCGGGGTATAAATCCAATCTCTTCTCTTCTCCTTCTTCTTTTAAAACATTCAGCATTCAGTCTTTATATGTAATCAGTATATAACATAGTGGATAGAATGGGCATCAGTTGAATGACAAAGGAGGAATATCAAAGAGTCATTTGGAACAAAAATGCCTAAACATTTTGTTGTAATCCATGATACTGAGGAAGAATCAGCATGGATTCTGTCAGGGAAGATCTTGTCTCACTAACCTTTTAGAGTTCTTTGAGGGGGTGAACAAGCATGTGGACAAGGGTGACCCAGTAGATGCTGTTTACCTAGAATTCCAGAAAGCTTTTGATAAAGTTCCTCATCAAAGGCTCCCAAGTAAACTCAGCGGTCATGCGATAAGAGGGCAAGTCCTCTTGTGGAACAAAATCTGGTTAAGTAACCAGAAACAGAGAGTGAGTATAAATGGGCCATTTTCACAGTGGAAGGTGGTAAGCAGTGGGGGGTACCACAGGGCTTGGTACTAGGTCTGGTGCTTTTTAGCTTGTTTATTAATGATTTGGAGTTGGGAGTAAGCAGTGAAGTGGATACGTTTGCGGATGACACTAAGTTGTTCAGGGCAGTGAGGTGCTCCAGAGGGATCCGTCAAGGCTGGGCAAGTGGGTGTCAATGTGGCAAATGAGGTTCACATGGGCAAGTGCAAAGTAACACAGATTGGAGTCAAAAATCCTTACTGTAATTTACATTGATGGGATCTGAACTGGCAGTACCTGACCAGGAGAGAGATCTTGGTGTCATGGTAGATAACTCACTGAAAATGTTGACTCAGTATGCAACTGCAATAAAAAAAGGCAAATGCTGTGCTGGGGATGATTAGGAAGGGGAATTGAAAACAAATCAGCAAGGATCATAATGCCCCTTTATAAATCTATGGTGTGGCCTCATCTGGAATACTGTGTACAATTCTGGTCATCACACCGCAAAAAAGATATTATAGCATTGGAAAAGATGCAGAAAAGGACAACTAAAATGATTAAGGGAATGGAATACCTTCCTTATGAAGAAAGGTTTAAGAGGTTAAGGCTCTTTAGTTAGGAAAAATGAGGATTGAGGAGCAACATGATAGAGGCTTACAAAATTATGCATCAGATAGAGAAGGTAGAGAAAGAGGTACTTTTCTCCCTTCCTCACAGTACAAGAACTTGTAGGCACTCAATGAAATTAATGAGCAGTAAGCTTAGCACAGATAAAAGGAAGACCTTCTTCACCCAGAGAGTAATTAACACATGGAATTCACTGCCACAAGAAGTGATAGTGGCTATGAGCATAGACAGTTCAAGAGGGGATTGCATAAGCATATGGAGCAGAGGTCCATGATTGGCTATTAGTCACATGCTATAGATAATGATGCTCTGTGTTCTTGGTGCCTGGGGGACAACAGTGGGGAAGCTTCTGGAGTTCTGGCCTTCCTGGTGGACCTCCAGATGCACCTGGGTTTTGGTCACTGTGTGACACAGAGCGTTGGACTGGATGGGCCATTGGCCTGATCCAACATGGCTTCTCTTATGTTCTTATGTTCAAACACACACACCTGTCGCATTATGCCTTTGCAATTGCCTAGGGAAAGCTATCTGGAAACTAAATAGAAGCATTTCTTCATATACACAGATTTGTGTATCAATAGGGCAGGGATGCAAAGGTTCACACCTCTCCTCCCTTCCCCAGATAAGAAATTAGATAGCACTCAAGGTTGAACAAGAGACAGATTGTGTATATGTGTGTGTGTGTATATACACATACATACGCACACTATACACATACATACTAGAGTTGGGAGGAGGGACCAGGGTACTCGGAATCAATGCTCCCTCTAAGCTGTGGAGTCTTGTGAGCAAAAATCCTACTCTGTGAGCTACTGGCATTAAAGTTGGGAGAGAGCGATTTGGCTGCTGTCTAAATCGGTTTGCGCTGGAGCCCTCCTTCCTGAGCTAAGGCAGAAATGTGTGAGCCGGAGGCTAAAAGCCTGTGAGCTGGCTCACACTAACTCAGCTTAGAGGGACCAGTGTGCTCGGAAGCCATTTCCCCCCAGCTGCAACCTCTTTTCCTTGTTCCGTGGAACTCAAGGGAGCAAATATTAGTCAGGGACATGAATGGGATACACAGTGTGATCGGGCACAGAATGGGATGGTCTTTTAGTGGTCTTCCTGATTGACTCAGAGAATGGGGACTCAGCCTCATGAGAAGTCTAGCAGCAAATGGAAAATTTCTGAAAGAAGTCCAACTCTGGCTGATCTTTAAATAGCCTGAGTTTGGAGTGTGGTGGGGAGTGGGGAGTGGGGATAACAATCTATGGAGGAGGTTTCAAGGCATTACTCATTATAGCACCTTGCGACATGATACCTGCTGAATGAGAACTGCTTGTTTTAGAGAAATCCGAGCCCTTGCACAAATAAAGAGCACAAATATTGCTGGAAGCAGAAGCAGAAGACATTGGCGGCAGCGTTTGCAAGAAGGCAAAGGTACAGTGCAAGAGCTGACTGTTGTCCCCAGGGGCAGGCCTAGAAGAGAAAGCAAGAAGCAAGGTTAAAATTAAGGAGCCACACATCAGGAAATGGACAGGTGAATTTAACAAGTTTTTAAATGGGCTTGCAATATTGGGAAGTCTCCTAAGACCCTCAGTTTAGAAATGAGGTTAGACACCACCAATGCATTACGTCTCCCAGATCCTTGAACACATTGAAGCCCCATTATGCGCAGGTTTGTGCACTATGAACTCTAAGATCTGCCCAAGAAATGGAAATTCTGTATTAAAGAATTCTTCTGGAAACTGCTTGATGGCGGGCATCCTGCCTCCAGTCACGGGAAGTTCCTCCAGCCACAGGAGTCTTTCTTCAAGTTTTAAGTGGCTCCTCCATTGCAGACAGAGCACTTTATTATGAATGGAGGGATGGATACTCTGACTGTATCTAGTTCTCTGAATAGCATGTGCTGGCAGCCCTAATCTTGCTGCCATAGAAGTAATGCCAAGATGGAATGAATGGGTGCCAAATTCCCAAGCTGGTGACCTGATCTTGGACAAGATGAAATTGCATCAGTGGAAAACCACTGCTATGCTGGAAACGGTAGCCTAGGGCTGCGCCCCTTTACGTCTGTCTGTCTGTCTGTCTGTCTGTCTATCTATCTATCTATCATCTATCTATCACTGCTCATATAGAGATAGCCCTGAGCAGAAAATCAATCTGTCTGTCTGTCTGTCTGTCTGTCTGTCTATCTATCTATCACTGCTCATATAGAGATAGCCCTGAGCAGAAAATAAAATTATAAAATAAGATAATGCCTTACTTAGTGTTATTCTTCTGTTGTTTAATTATTGGCCCCATAAATTATGCCACACAGAGGGTAACGAAATCATTTATATCCAATAGTCAGCCCCTTAACTTCATGAAAACAGCCAGAGCTTGCACCAGGCATAGCTGAAAGTTTCTTGGGGTCTGCAGGACCACACTGAGCCCCCTGCCATGCTGATCAGTCTTAGACCTGTGTTATCACCAGCCTAACCTCCTCTGCATCCCATCACAAGGATGCCAGCAACATTCTTGACACTGCAGCACCACAGCTTGAAACAGCACTGCCTCCTCAGTCCTAATGCAGCGTGTTTTGTAACCCTTCATCAATAGCAGCCTGGAGAAAAAGGCTACCAGGAATCATTCACCAAAGGCTCATATGACCATCCCTCCAACATATGCCTACCTTTAAAGTTGCTGGTAGACACACCCTCTGACCTAGCAGCAAATGCTGCCAAATAACCTTCTATGGCCTTTGAGACTAACCCTTTTTCTCTCAGAGGCTGATTCTACATTGGCTTTTCCCTCTGTTGTTATACCAAACCCATGTTGGAACAGAAATTCCCCTCTGCATTGCACGCTGCTTTCACTTCCTTTGATCATCGTATTTTATGGTAGCCTCAACACTACATGCTGCTTTTGCTTCCTTTGATCATCAGGTTTTATGGTACCTTCTGCATAGGTTTGTGACTGTTTTATGGCCGTTCAGGGGTGACTTTGCAGTCAGTGGTTTTGAGCTGCACTTTTCCCTCCCAGTTGAGAAAATGTGGAGCAATGGCCACACACATCAGAGCAAAGTGTTTAGACAATACCTTCAGGAGCAAAATTCGCCTGCTCATATTTTTCTTCACAGGCAGATTCTACTTCCTTGGCGCTCTCAGTCATCTCAATCATCTGCTCAGGATTTCCATCACAACAGGGTTTCTCCTGCTCCATCAGATCTTTCCCAGATGTTTCTTTGTCTTCCATATTCCCTCTGTTCAGTAGATATGAGGCTCTAGGTGGGCCTCTCTCTCACAGACCATGATGACAAAAGCCTCCAGATTCAGGTTGGGTCACATGCAGAGTTCCTGACCTTGGCTTATCTTGAAAAGAAAGTTAGAATGTCAAAAGAGGCATGGTTTATCAGTCTCAGAGCAGGTGGGCTAGTGAAGTGATGCTGAAGTCATGTAAAAACCCAGGGCTATTTTTGGGCAGGAACGCACAGGAACGGAGTTCTGGTTGCCTCCTGAGTTGGCTACGCCCAGTAGGAACTCATTAGCATAACAGGCCACACCCAACAGCACAAACTCATTAGGACTGACTACATTAGGGGTATGTGGCCTAACATGCAAAGGAGTTCCTGGTACAAAAAAAGCCCTGGGTTTTGACAACAAACAAGGTAAACAGAATAAGAAGAAAAGGTGGGTGTGGCTGGATGATCACACATCTGGTAACCTGGGGGTGTGGCCTAATATCCCAACGAGCTGTGCTGTCAGGGGTGTAGCCTAATATGCTAATGAGTTTCGGCTGTTGGGTGTGGCCTATTATGCTAATGAGTTCCTGCTGGGCTTTTTCTACAAAAAAAGCCCTGTAAAAACCTAATCGTGACAGGGCACACAAAAACAACTTTCAATCACTTTGTATATCGTGCAACATATCTTATGATTCTGATCACATATCTATTTTGCCAATTTCCTTTAAAAATGGAAGAGCATCCTTTTTAATATTATTCCGGATGATTACAAAGTGTGGACTGAATAAAAAAGTTGTTCATGGAGATATTCATACTAGATGATTGGGTATACATTAACTAAGCCTCTGTTATGAAGTTTTTCAGTTAATGAAAGTGTTTATTTATTATTTATCAATTTCGATTGATATTCCGCCTTGCCTATATAAGCAGGCTCAAGGTGGCGTACAACAGGTAAAATACAATAAAACACAGATGTGGAAACACAATACTATAAATACTATAAAATATCACAAAACAAACCATATATATATGTGCAGTTAAGTGCAGATGGCAATTGCTGTAAGATGATCCAATGCAGCTAAACCAGTATCAAAGTTGTTCTTAATGCCGGTAACGTGAGGGCTGTAGCAGTTCAGTTTTTAATAGCTCACTCACTGTTGGTTGTTTAAAGCACCAAGATAGAGGTAATGGTGCATTTATAGAAGATGCTGGGCTGAACACTATTTTATTCAATACATTCTTTTAAACCAAAGTTTTTTGTAAACCTGGGAAATCATACCCACAGTGCTACCTTTCATTCAATTCAGGAGCTCTCTTTCCTTTATAATTATAAGGAATTCAATTGTTTTAGAGAGGTTATGTTGATTTAAGGCCCCGGTCACACGGAGCATTAGCCACGCTACAGAGATGGAAGATAGGCGGATTTTCCGGGCACGATCACACCGTCACATCTGGGAAGCATAGAACTCCCGTGGCGAACCCGAGGCTTCCCGCCGAAGATGCGGGGTAAAAAACTAGTACCTCGGAGGTGCTAGTTTCCGGAAACTGCGGGGCAAGGGCAGGCGCCTGATTGCGTTTCCAGTGGAATCCCATGGCATCTGGCGCCCGCCCATGTCCCGTCGCAAAGAAGGGTTTTTTAAAAAAGTCTCCACAGGATCCGCACAAGCACCCAACAGCGCAAGCGCATACTTGGGTTAAAAAAAACCCCGTTTGCCATAGCAGCGCCGCTTCTTTGCCGCGCCGTCTGATCGGCACCTCCCCAGGCTCCCCACCACCACCATCGGACGTTGGCGGGATGTGTGATCCCACGGCCGTGCTGTAGTTCGCTCCGGGGCAAACAGCCACGCCTCCCCCCCGTGATATCCGGCCCGTGTGACCGGGGCCTAAGTCACCCTATTAGCCCTGAAAAACTGACTTTGGCCCCGATCACATGTGCCAGATAACACGTGGGGGAAGTGAGGCTATTTGCTCTGAAGTAATTTGACCTGCCACTGTGCAATCATACGCAAGGGCAGGTGAATCGGATTTTTTTTTCCGCCGCGTGTTTCCGGTGCACTTCAACGAGGGATCAGTGACGCAATGGGAGTGCGCTGGAGCGATCACACAGGAAAGTCCGTCACAAACCCGTTTGATAGTGCACTTTCCCAGGTATTTTTTAACTCAGCTTCTTCGGAGGAAAAAGACGGGTTGCCGACGGGTGCGGGACACTTGCCAGATGTTCCCATGTGACCGCGCCCTTAAAATCCACCCGGCATCCGTCCCTATCGCGTGGCTAATTCTGTGTGTGAACGGGGCCTTTCTTTTGCAAGGCAGAGAAGTTATTTGGGCTCATCAAAATCAACTCAGCATTTTGTGCAGCTCTGTGACAATTTATTGTCCATGAGATACTTATTTATTGACTTCCATTATTTATAGTCTGCCTTTCTCACTGGGACTCAAGTGGATTACCCAGAGTGAGTCCATACAATCAACAGGATGGGACATTAATTGAACAATGCAATAGAATTAGCGTTGTGGAGCCAACAACACATCTAAAAACAGAACTGAAGCACAGCTCAAATATTAACATGACATATTAAAAACTGCAAGAATTACACAGTAGGATCCTACTTACAGCAAGCTATACACAGGAGTATAGGCTACAGTCTCTAATGATTTATCCAAGTAACTGTGCATTTTGTACAGTGTGACCCTGTTGCCTGCATAGAAAAGCTCTCTTCAATACTTCAGTTTTGTTTACTTTGCAGAAAGCCAGGAAAGCAGAACTCTAATCTTTTCTAGAGTTTAAGCATTTTAAAGAGGGATCTTGTATCACTTTTCTTTCCACTACTGAGATATCCTTGGTGCATGTGTCTACCACCTTGCATTCATACCCACAACTTGGATGCACATCCCCTTTAAGCTCTGTCTCTCCAACCCCATTGCCTGATAATCATAACACACACTCTCCCCCCCCCCAGCTCCCACACACCTTTCCCCAAAGGAACCAGATTTCCACACCAGCTTTTTCAAACTTACCATCCCATTACAAGAGGCAGCAGGATAAGATCTTGCATGGAGGAGCTGATCTAATATGGACTATAAGCAACCAGATACCACTCTATGTCAGCAGAAAAGCAATTCCTAGTGATGTCTTAACTGTGTTCTGTTGTGTGCTAATAATAGGTGCAGGATGGAATGCCAGCAATGAGTCATGTATCTGGCTGCTCTGTAACTTGAGTGAGATGCAGGGCTTTTTTCTTGGGGAACATGCCTCTTTAACAAAATTCTTTTTAAAAAGTTTAAAAGTTCATGAGTTTTCAGTATACAGATGGAAAACTTCATTTCCCTCTTAAGAGTTCTGGCACCTCTTTAAAAAAAAAAAAAAAGTGCCCTGCAGATAAGCTCACAAAAGCTTATACCCAGAATTAAGCACTGTTGGTCTTAAAGGTGCCGCTGGACTCAAATGGTGTTCTTGGGTCAGATGACTGAGCTGAACCTTTTCTCAGTGTTGGCTCCCCCAACCACACTTCCTTCCAAGTACAGCCCTTTACCCTGTACTGACAAGTTATTCATCAGATCTAAATCTTGCCTGGCCCTGTCTCATACACATGCGGTCCAAAAGAGTATTCAGCTGTCCTCAACCAGAGCCAGGGCTTTTTAGGACCTTGCTGAATGCTGCCTCATCCTTCACCCCCAGTAGCATCTGAAATGTTATCCCAGCTCATTAGTTCTCTGCACTGCATTCTGCAGCAGCACAAAAATAAGTTTGCTGAAGACAAAAGATAAGCTCCTAAGTGCAATTCAATTGAAGTTTAAGTCCCGTGGAGACTTTCTCAAATACAACCAGGGGTCATTTCGTAGAAAAAGAGGTGCAGGAGCTCATTAGCATAACTCATTAGCATGGCTTATTTGCATATGCCACACCCCCTGACATCACCGGAAGTGTGTCAGAAGGCAACACCCACTGTTTTGGATTGCTAGCTATTGGGGGGGGGGAGAACGTGCAGATCTGTCCTCACAGAAGAGGGAGAGCTTGTACCTGAATAAAGCTTGGTCTTAAAGGTGCCACTGGACTGTTTTGGCTGGGAGGGCGGGGGAGCTCTACAACTTACCTGGCTGCTTCTTGCTCTGACTGAGGGCTACTGGGAGCAGGGGGTGGGGCTTGTTGCATGTGCCCGCCCCCTGGGCTCTTTACTGCCGGAGCTCCGCTCCTGTGCGCTCCTGCAGGAAATGACCCCTGAATGCAACCATTAGCTCTATTCCAAAATGCATATTGCCCCAGTGCCGTCCATTCTGGCATAGGCCAATAAGATTCAGAGATCTCATCATTTCAGCTAGTTTTCAACTATTCCACACACGCCCCCATTCTGGGTTAGTGTGTTCAAGAGAAAGCAACTTAGTTTGACGCAGGACTCAGCTCTAGAATCTATTTTCAGTGGTAGGAATCAACCCTGAAATATGCCAATTAAGTTGAGCACCTTAGAGTATGTAGTAGTGTCACCAATAATTTGTAGAAAAACAAGGAGGGGCTGTGGCTCATTGGTGAGCATCTGCTTGACATCCAGAAGGTCCCAAGTTAGACCTCTGGCATCTCCAGCTGACTAGGTAGTAGGAGATGGGACAGACCTCTCTGCCTGAGAACCCTACCAGTCTGAATAGGCAATACTGACTTTGATGAACCAAGGGTCTGATTCAGTATAAGGCAGCTTCAAGTGTTTTGTTCCTTTAACACAGGAGCCATGAGGAAACACATTGGATCTCTCCTTCTTTCACCTGATATCTACACAGACTAGGACAGGTGTATCTTTTCTCCCCATCTTGGGTCCTGGTCACACAAGTGAGATAATCTGGGGGGGAAGTGAGGCTTTTTAGACCTGGAGCAAAATGAAGCGCGGTATCACGATCTGACGTTCCCCAAGGCTCTGTGCTCAGGCCATCCGCCGCCAATCATGTGAAGCGTGGCAACGAAGCAGTACTGCATTTGTGCACATGCGTGGGATGTGGACGGGTGCTGGATACAATGGGATACCAGCACTTCCGCAATCAGACGCCTGCCCGCACTGTACGTTTTTCGGATGATACTGCATTTTCCCTAGTATCTTTTAACTCCGCTTCTTCGGCCGGATGCTACAGGTTGGAGACGGGCGTGTGATGCTTGCCAGATGTTGCTGTATGATCGCGCCAGTTTAATCCGCCCACAAGCCGTCCCTCTCGCATGGCAAATTCTCCGTGTGACCGGAACCTTGATCTATCTCCCTTATTTTCCAGATCACACTGCACTACAGCTGGCACTTAACTCCTCTCTGCAATTTAGGCCTCACCTCTGGAACACTGGGCACCTCTCCTCCAACAGACCCACTTCTCCTCCATTCTATTCCCCCATTTCCCCCCCATTTACATTTTCTACTTAGAAGTAACTCCAAATTAAAGTAGCTTTCGTCGATTGAGGGCAGCCGTGTTGGTCTGAAGCAATAGAACAAAGTTAGAGTCCAGTGGCACCTTTAAGACCAACAAAGTTTTATTCAAGGTGTCAGCTTTTGTGTTCTGGTGACAAGAAAAATACTCTACACAGCCAAGATGCTTTAAAGTTTGCCTCCATGCTAGAAAGGAGATGGATGAGATCTAATGACTGAATTCTCACAATTTAGGTACACCACTCTGCAGTTCTGACATATTTATTACCTGTGTTGTCCCCCCCCACCCCAAACAGATGATAACCAGAAACCCAGCTTGTCATTCCTTTTATCTGTTAAAACCCATCTTCATTATTTTGCATGCTAATTTAACAAGCCACCCTGTATATATACAAGTATGATCTGTAATTCCATTTCATTGTCTGATGAAGTGTGCGTGCACACAAAAGCTCACACCTTGAATAAAACTATGTTGGTCTTAAAGGTGCCACTGGACTCTAACTTTGTTTTATTGTTGAGATAAGGAATGTGCTATTTATTTGTGGTTTATTTTAGTATTTGCTAATGTTTGCTTAAAATAAGCCCCCTCTTGAGTCAAATCGCTCAATAAACTCCATATATTCCTTTTTAATTCTTTAAATTGCTTTTCTGTCATCCTTTTCCCAACTGAAAACTTGATACTTTCACTCCCATCTCTATAGATTAAACATCCTGGTTTCCCAGACCCTGCACAAACACACAAGCCAATTCCCCATGTTAATCTGGACGTATGTTCACTTGTTCGTTGGGGTGTGGTAACACATTCCCACCCAACACTGAATAACTGTGGCTTGTTCTCACACACATTCAGATTTCAAGGCAGGACCTCACCCCGACAAGAGTCTTTTTCATAGCATTCAGAAGTGGAGGGGCTTCCCACCTTCTCTGAAAGTTACAAGAAAGTGTCCACACAACTAGCAGCTCATGCATATTTACTCAAAACTTCGCCCTGCTAAGTTCAATGTAGCTTACACCCAAGAAAATGGGGGAGAAGGATAAAATATTTATAATATTTAGATTAAAAACAACTCCCAATAAAGTATTAATAGTGCTGCAACAACCCCAATTTCAAGATCTCTGTCCATGACAAGTTGCAGATATATTTCTAGACACAAGCTCAGCGTGCCTCAGTAGAAAAAGATATTGAAGAAGATGATATTAGGAGCATGCCACCTACCCTTGCCTGCCGCTGGTACTCCCCTCTGATAATTCATCTGTCACTCTCTGGGCTGCTGTATTCCACTCACTGCTCCACTCAAAAAAGCAACTTGAGCACCCTGTCACAAGAGCAAGAAATAAATCAAGGGCAGCAGGGCTGCAAGCAGAGACTGTTACGTCAGGAGAGTCATTCTGGATTTTGATACGAAGTGTTCTTGGCCTGTTTCCTTTCCTCCCATCACATGGAGAAGCTCTCAGATGAGGATTTCCGGTAAGGAAACTCCAGACTAAGTATTGTGCAATTCGATCACCATGCCTTGTCTTTTAACTCAGTGTGTTTCAACAAAGAATAACAGAAGCACACAGTCTATAATCCCACCAGTGTCTCCTGGGCTGTCGAGTTGGGTTTTAGCTAGATTTTATTCTGTCTAAACTTGACTGGTTGCAGGAATGAAGGGGGGGGGGGAGGAGGAAGGCACACTCTCCATTTAACTCCCTGTGCTGTGTTTGTCTGTCTTTGGAAGGGGTTTCTCCTTTTACATTGAAAAAGTGTGTCACCAGCACTTCTAGCTCTACAAGATAAGGTATCCATTAAACAT